TGAACCCACAGACCATGAGATCATGACCTGAGCCGAAGTCGGATGCTTAACCGACCGAGCCACCCAGGCGCCCCAGGATTAATTATTAATTAAGCCTATAATCAGAGACTGGAAGAAATTTTCACTATATGCAAGGCTATGACACTTGGAGCACCTAGGTGGCTCAGTCAATTGAGCATCTGACTCTTGAGTTTAGCTTGGATCATGATCCCAGGGTAGTGGGATCGAGTCCTGCATCTCACTTTGTGCTGAGCATGGAGCCTGCTTTAGATTCTCTCTACCCCCTCTGCCCCTCTCCCCTGCTCATGCACTCTCTTATAAAATAAAAAATAATAATAATAATAATAAATAAAAAGTAAAATAATAAAAATAAAAACACACTTAGCGGGGATTTATTCCTGGGTTGCAAGGATGGTTCAGTATTTTCAAATGAATCAACACAGTACATCTGATCTTTTTCAATGGATACACAGAAAGCATTTGATAAAATACAACATCCATTCATGATTTAAAAAAAAAAAACCCTCAATAAAGTAAGTTTAGATTAAGCATACCTCAACATAATAAAAGCCATATATGAAAAACGCACAGTTAGCATCATCCTAAGTGGGGAAAAACAGAGGGCTTTTCCTCTAGGGTTAGGAATAAGACAGGGCTGTCGACTCTCACCACTTATATTCAACATACTATTGGAAGTCCTAGTCATAGCAATCAGACAACTAAAAGAAATAAAAGGCATCCAAATCACCAAGGAAGAAGTAAAACGTTTACTGTTTGCAGATGATGTGATACTATATATAGAAAACCCAAAAGGCCCCACCAAAAAACTGCTAGAACTGATAAATGAATTCAGTAAAGTTGCAGGATACAAAATCAACATTCAGAAATTGTTGAATTTCTATACACCAATAATGAAGCAGCAGAAAGAAATTAAGGAAGCAGTCTCATTTACAATTGCACCAAAAACAATAAAATACCTAGGAATAAACCTAACCAAAGAGATGAAAGACCTGTACTCTGAAAAATATAGAATACTGATGAACGAAATTAAAGATGACACAAAGAAATGGAAAGACATTCCATGCTCATGGATTGAAAGAACAAATATTGTTAAAATGTCTATACTACCCAAAGCAGTCTACACATTGAATGCAATGCTTCTGAAAATACCCACAGCATTTTTTACAGAGCTTAAACAAACAATCCTAAAATTTATATGGAACCACAAGAGACCCCCGAATAGCCAAAGCAACCTTGAAAAAGAAAAAACTGGAGACATTACAATTCCAGACTTCAAATTATATTATAAAGCGATAGTAATCAAAGCAGTATGGTCCTAGCACAAAAATAAACCCATAGATCAGTGGAACAGAATAGAAAACCCAGAAATGAACCCACAGTTATATGGTCAGTTAATCTTCAACAAAGCAGGAAAGAATATCCAATGGAAAAAAGACAGTCTGTTCAACAATGGTGTTGGGAAAACTGGACAGCATACAAAAGAATGAAACTGGACCACTTTCTTACACCATACACAAAGATAAAGTCAAAATAGATTAAAGACCTAAATGTGAGGCGTGAAACCATAATCCTAGACAAGAACACAGGCAGTAAATTCTTTGACTTCAGTTATAGCACTTTCTTTCTAGATATGTCTCCTGAGACAAGGGAAACAAATTCAAAAATAAACTATTGGGACTTTGTCAAAATAGAAAACTTCTGCACAGGGAAGGAAACAATCAATAAAGCTAAAAGGCAACCTATGGAATAGGAGAAGATATTTGCAAATGACATATGATAAAGGGTTAGTATCCAAAGTATATAAAGAACTTATAAAACCCATTACCTTAATAATGACTAATCCAGTTAAAAAATGGGCACTATACCTCCCCCCCACTCATGTTCTCTCTCTCTCGAAAACTAAAAAATAAAAATGGGCAGAATATATGAGTTAGACATTTTTCCAAAGAAGACATCCAGATAGCAAACAGATACATGAAAAGATGCTCAATGTCATTGATTATTAGGGAAATGCAAATCAGAACTACAATGAGAGATCACATCACACCTGTTAGAATAGCTAAAATCAACAACACAAGAAACAACAGGTGGTTGTCAAGGATGTTGTCAAGGATGTGAACCCTCATGCACATTTGGTGAGAATGCAAACTGGTGTAGTCACTCTGGAAAACCATATGGAGGTGCCTCAGAAAGTGAAAAATAGAACTACTCTATGATCTAGTAATTGCACTACTGGGTGTTTACCCAAAGTATACAAAAATACTAACTCAAAGTTACACATGCATATGCGTCCTGGTGTATCTACACCAGTACTATCTACCATAGCCAAATTGTGGAAACAGTCCCAGTGTCCATCATTTGATGAATGGATAAAGAAGAGGATGTATATATACACATATATACAATGGAACATTACTCAGCCATAAAAGAGAATGAAATCTTGTCATTTGAAATGACATGGATGGAGCTAGAGAGTATTATGCTAAGCAAAATAAGTCAGAGAAAGACAAATACCATATGATTTCATTTATGTGGAAATTAAGAAACAAAACAAATGAGCAAAGGGAAGAAGAAGAGAGAGAGGCAAATCAAGAAACAGACTCTTAACTAGAGAACAAACTGATGGTTACCAGAGGGGAAAAGGGTGGGGGGATGGGTTAAATAGGTGATGGGGAGTGCACTTGTTGTGATGAGCACTGGGTAACATATGGAAGTGTTGAATTACTATATTGTATCCTGAAACTCCTATTACACGGGATATTAACTGGAATTTAAATACAAACTTTAAAAAAATAGCACACTTAATGGAAAACACACACACACACACACACACACACACACACACACACACACACACAAATGGCTACCAGCAAGAAAACAATTGGACAGGAAAACTTTGATCAGTCTTTTACTTTCAGGCCCCAGGTCAGAAGACGGAATGTCTACCAATAAAAATCCGATCTGATGTCTTAATACTTTTTGAGGCCCATAGTGTCCTGCTATTTGTTTATGTCCCTCTTTCATATAGTTGGAGACATTAATTTTAAGAAGTATTGGACAGTGGTGGGAGGAGAAAATAATTCAGTGATGGTACATTGTGTCCTGAGAAATATTGTCCCTGTGAGTAAAGTATTGAATACATCAATAAGACAATAGGAGATCTAATAACTATATTA